CATGGCACCTCTGCTAAAAAATAGGAAGGAGGCCAGTCAAGTTCCTAATCTCAGGGAAGGGTCACTGCCAAACAGAGTGACCAGGGCTATGCTGGGAGAAGCCCAGGGAGCTCTGGGGACCCAGAGAGGTGCATCACAGGGAATCTGAGAAGACTTCCTGGAGGGAGAAACATATAAGCTGAGGCCTGAAAAGTCAGATAAGAGTGAGACAGGATAAAGAGAAGGCACCGGGTGTTCTAGGCAGAGGAGATAGCAGGTGCTAAGAAAGGAACAGAGAGGCAAGCAAGCATGGCCTGTTCAGGCAAAGATGGAGAACAAAGCTCAATTGGGTTGATGGTGAGAGAAGAGGCTCAGGAGATGGGTGAGGCCGGACCTGTAAGCCACATGAAGGAATTGGAACTTCCTTCTGAGCCCAATGGGAGGCATTCAAGTATTTTAAGTGAAGAAATGAAAAGGGTAAATTTCTTTTTTTTTTTAAACATCACTTTGCAACAGCATAGAGATAGACAAAAAAATCAAGAGAGGCTTTTCAGCCTCTTCTTTATAACTTCATATTTTTACATAACCAGAAAAGTAATATGTATCATTTGTAATAAAAATAAAATCAGTGAAGACATTTCCATTTTTCTTATTTTAAAAACCCACCGTTGCAAAAGATCTGAACAGACACCTCACCAAAGAAGAGGAAGATGGCAAAAAAGCATATGGAAAGATGCTCAACATCACCCGTCATTAGGTAGAAAAATGCAATAATGAGATATGAATACACACTTATTAGAATGGCCAAAATGCAGACCATTGACAACACCGAATGCTGGTGAGGATGTGGAGCAACAGGAAGTCTCACTCACTGTTGGCAGGAATGCAAAATGGTACAGCCACTTTGGAAGACAGTTCGGAAGTTTCTTATGAACTAAACACGCTCTTAGTATATGATCCAGCAATTGTGCTTCTTGGTATCGATCCAAAGGACTTGAAAAGTTATGTCCACACAAAAACCTGCACACAGATGTTTATAGCAGCTTTTTTCATAATTGTCCAAACTTGGAAGCAGCCAAGATGTCCTTTAGTAGGTGAATGAATAAATACACTGGGGTACATCCAGATTATGGAATATAATTCAGTGCTAAAAAGAAATGACCTATCATGCCATAAAAAGACATGGAGGAAACTTAAATGCATATTACTAAGTGAAAGAAGCCATTCTGAAAAGGCTACATATCTATGACTCCAACCATACAACATTCTGGAAAAGGCAAAATAATGGAGAAGGTAGAAAGATCAGTGGTTGCCAGGGGTCAGGTAGATGAACAGGCAGAGCAGAGAGGGTTTTGGGGGCAGTGAAACTATCTGTATGATACTACAATGGTAAGTACATGTCAATAAATGTTTGGACCCATAGAATGTACAACACCAAGAGAGAGCCCTAGTGTCAACTACAGACTCTGGGTGATAATGCTGTGTCATTGTAGGACTGTAACAAATGTGCCATGCTGGCGGGGGATGTTGATAGTGGGGGAGGCTGTGCATGTGTCGGGGCAGGGGGTGTATGGGAACTCTCTGTACTTTGTTCTGAATTTTGCTGTGAACTTAAAACTGCCCTAAGAATAAAGTCTACTAAGAATAAAGCAAACAAACAAAAACTCCCACTAGAGGGAGGAGGTAAGACAAGAGGCAGGGAGAGCCCTCCGGAGGCCATGGCAGGGATCTAGCCCGAGAGATGGGGCCTGAGCCAGAGCAGAGGCAGTGGGAGTTGGTGGCTGCTTGGATGGTGGGGTGGAGGGTAAGGAAGAGGCGCACGCTGAAGCTTCTGGTTAACCAGCTCTGTGGTGCTATGAACAGAGATTTGAGGAACCACCTCTTGTAGTCTGGGCAGTGACCATGGGCCAGAGATTGCACCAGAAGATGGAGAGACAAGATGGAGAGGGAAGGAAGAGAATTTGTAACTGATTAAGACAAGAGAAGTAATACTTCATTCTCTTATTTAAGAAGCATCTTGTTAATTTATCATTTTTCTGTTTCATGCATCACTTATATGAGATAATGCAACCAGTGACAATATACAGAAAACTCAGCCTGAACTAGCTTTGCAGAAGACCAAGGCACATTTGGGATGAGAAAGCCTGCCCTAAGGCTGGAAGTTGTCACACTGATAAAAGGCAGAGCATGAGCAAACTTGAGAGAGAGGAGCAGAAAATACAACAATTGCATGCAAAGGAAACAATTGTCCCTTCCCCAGGCACATCAATGCATTCAGTGGCTGATGAGCCGCAGGTTGCAGAGGAGCCGAGTGGCAGTCACGGCCATCTGTTGGGGGTGTTGTCTGCTCCTTCTGGCAACAGTATGTGCCTCACTCCTGATTGTCCTGGAATGGATGCTGGTTTTCTCGCTTGGACCCAGTCCATGGCCATTCTACTGTGCCCTCTCTGTGCTCTAGGAGGCTGAGCCCTGTGGACAGCATCACCCAGATCCCTGGCCAGCTGGTTTCTGACTGGGCTCTGCAAGGAGGGACCCAAGCAGCCTGCCCCCACAGCTTTAGTTCTAATGGGCTCCTCCAACACAGTCTGCCCTTGGCCCTGTGGGCCTAGGCATGGTCATGGCTTCCCTCTGTTGCTAGCCCCTGGATGCCAGAATATTCTTGGATGGTTCCCTTGACCCTGCTCACCTGGCTATGAATGGTCCGTCCCTTCATTAAAGTCCCTTCAGGTGAACTATCTGAGGGAGGAACTGGGGTTCTAGAGAAGCTCAAAGATTAACCAAGGCCAAATGACAGCCGTGGACGGGGTGGGGGACAGGGCCTCTCCCTAATGTTGTGAGGAGAGGGGAAAGGTGCTAGAACCTACAAGGGGCTGCCCTCACCTGCGGGAATACATCACCTGCTCTATTATCAAGAGCTGCAGACAAATGCAAGGGCCACAGGTAGTTGCCACCTCTCCTCTGTGCAGGAGAACAGTGGCCCTTTTGGGAGTGCATTTGGGACAGATTACTCTGGGTTGGGGGAAGGGGCAAGGGTGGGTAGAATGTGAGGCAGAGTGACTGACGGAGGTGCGAGGAGGCTGCTGTAGGCTTAGTGGACAATGGCAAAGACCTGAGCTACAGAAGTGGCAGGGTCGGAGGGAGGGCATTTGAGAACTATCCAGGAGGTGGACTCTAAGTGCCGATTCTCGTGCTTATGTTGAGCTGGACGGTGAGGGAGACAAGGACAGCCATGTTCTGTCTTGGGTTCCTGAGTAGGTGGAGATGCTGGTTACAGAGATGGGCAGGACGGGGCAAGGAGCTGCTTTTTGTTGCAGACACATCAACGTGTAGGGTTGGCTTCGTTTCATGGAAATGGTATCATACAATATGCAGCCTTTTGCTGGCCTCTTTCACTTAGCATAACGTTTTCAAGGTCCATCCGTGTTGTAGCACATGTCAGTACTTCATTCCTTTTAGTTGCCACGTTATATTCCACTGTAGGGAAGTACCACATTTTATTTACCCGTTCATCCATTGATGGACATTTGGGTTCTTTCTGCTTTTCATCTATAATTAGCAACGCTGCTGTGAACGTCTGTGTACCAGCTTTTGTGTGGACGTCCATTTCATTCCTCTTGGGTATATACCCACGAGTACAAATGGCAACTCTGTTTAACATTTTGAAGAATTGCCAGACTCTTTTTACAAAATGCTCCTCTATCTCTAGTAACATTTTTTTTTGTTTTAAAGTTATTTTATTTAATATCAGTAGACAACTCTAGCTTTCTTCTGCATATCCCTTCCCTTTTATTTTATTTTTTTTGGCAGCTGGCCACTATTCCCTTGCCTTTTAAAAAAGATGATTTTTATCATAAATGCATGCAACCATAAGTACTACATTATTTAGTTATGCATGTTTTGAGCTTTACAAAAATGATGTCACACTATAAATGCAGTCTACGTGGACTTGCTCTTTTCACTCAACATGTTGTTTCTAAGACCCACCTGTGTCGTCGTGTGTAGGTATAATTAATGTCGTATGATATTCTACTGTGTGCCCTTACCATAACCTATTGATCCATTCTCCTGCCAGTGGACATTTGGCATGTTTCCAGTGTTTTGCTCCTACAGGTTTATTGTTGCTGTGAACATTCTCATACACCTCTCCTGGTGTAAGAGTTTCTCTTGTTCTCAAAGTGACTAGCAGCATCAGCGTCAGCTGGGAACTTGTTAGAAATACAGATTCCTGGTCCCCACCCAGTGAGTCAGAAACTGTAGGGGTGGGCCTAGCAGTCTGTGTTTAAATAAGTCCTCCAGGTAACTCTGATACCTGATAAAGTCTCAGGTCCACTGCTTTAGAGTATAATATAGGAATGAAATCTCTGGATTGAGGCAATCAATTGTTTTCCAAAGGGTTTGTTCCGTGTTACGCTCTCCCGCAGTGTATATGGGCTCCCATGGAGACACACCTCTTAGCACTTTGTGTTGCTGGATTTTATTTTGCCCCCCGAGTGGGTGGGTCTGACTGGCTTTTCCTATAGAGAACCATGGGTGTGACAGTTGGTTTCTCCACCTTGTCTGTCCTCCCACCCTCCCTCGGCCAGGCTGAACCCCGTCTCGGGAACCAGTGACACACACACCATGCACACGGCAGCTCGGCTGCCATGGGATAAAGCCTCTCTTCAGTGTGGGTTTGTTTCCACAGGAGTACATGCACCACCTGCTTGCCCTGGAGCACCGCGCTGAGGAGCAGTTCCTGGAGCACTGGCTGAACCCTCACTGCAAGCCCCACTGTGACAGGAATGGGGTCCATCCTGTGTAGGGGGATTGGGACCAGCCTCGGTATGTTTTCTTCTCCTAGGCCTTCTGTCCAAGGATGATGGTGGTGGACAGAATAAGCATGGGCTGGGAGACCTTACAGACATGGTATCAGGGGACCAGCTGGTTAGCTGGGTATGGGTTGGGGGCTGACAAGAGCAAGGCAGGAGAGATGGCGGGAGCCAGGCTATAAGGAGCACTGGGGGACACAGAGAAGCCTGTTGAGTCACCACGAGATCCCTCTGGAATCCAAAGCTGTGATCCCTCTGGAATCCAAATCTGGAGAAGCATGGCTTGTTGAGACTTGGGTCTCTAGCTGGGGTTAGCATCCGTAGCCTTGATCCGTGACATCCACCCCATCGTCACTATTGTTGCCAGGATCAGAAACTCCTCTCCTGGGTCCCACTTCCACTCCCCACTGCCTCCCCACAGCTTTGAGGCTGGGGTCTGCCCCGCCACCCTTCTGTCTTCCCTCTTGCCCTGGGCTTACTCTTTTTGTCCACCTGCAGGGGCTGCGCAGACTCCTCCTCTGCTCCGAGATGAGGCTCTTTGCTTTTCCCTGCCTGTCTGTCTGTCTGTCCTCACCACCTTTCCCCCTTTCCAAATTCTGTCAGATAACCTCCTGCAGAGGCCAGCGAATTTCATT